CCGAAATCCAATTTCGGGCTATTATCCGTTAAATTACCAATACCGGTAATTGAGCCGCTTTTGACCAATCGGTCCACATTATGTCATTGCTTTGGACCAAATAAATTATCCCCCTCTATATAAATATTATTTCGACCAAGTTGAATAAAATATACGGTCTCGGAAATATCGGGCGGCCCCGCTCCCAGTGTGGGTCCCGCGTGTGAATTTACTATTCACGCAAAAGAAGTATTAAAAATTCACAACTTCGTATACTCATTAACCATTCCGTAAGGTTCAATACATTATACTCTTAAAAGTAAATACATTTGGGGACGGTGTTACAACTAACCACCATCAGTTTGATTTTTTATTGCATTTGTGGGTATCAACCTCAGTCTAAAGTTGGAAACATTTGTACGTGTTAGACCATGAAGTTGTGAACTTGAAAGGATAATTAGCCGCACATCGTGTTTGAAATCTAAGAGACTCGTTCTCAATCCATCTTATATCTCTTTGATTCTGCGCTGCATAATTGATCAATGCACTTTTAAATGGTCTCCCCATCAGCAAATAACATTCCTACCTTCAGCTCACACGATTCAAACTTAGGATCATAAGATGGCTTCTTCAATGTCTTCTTCCCTCTGGGATGCACATTAGAAACATAATCCTCTTCTTGAGAGTTCGCTACAGAACTAGGGGGTAATCAGAGTCATTATAAACGTTGCAATCTTCATCATCCCCACACTTGGTGTCCAAATTTGCCCTATTTACGTTGTTCTTTACCCAACCCATTTGAGTATCACTTAATTTTCCGTTAGTATCACCACTGAAGTCATCCTCATCCTCACTGTCAAGCAAAGTCTCCATACCACACAATGGTTGGTAAACTTCATCATCTTCTTCACACTCACACTGCATGACTAGAGTTCTCTCTATGTCCACTTCTCCATTTTCTTCTTGCACTAGTGGCATTTCACCTGCTATAACCTACACATCTTTGTCCAGTTCCCCACTTGAAGGTGAAGGTAAAAGTGGAATAACATCAAACTCATCTATGTCATGCTCCACATAGATATCGATTGTGCCCCAATTAATTGCCGAGTTTATTAGATCTAAGGTTGAAGGATTATTTCACAATGGTCTTAAGTTGTTGAACTTGTGATAGGCTCGTTCTGTTCCTATCTTTTCACCTATATTTTGGGTGTTAATTGTCTATTTTTTACGATTAATCGGGTGACTATTAGGAGTTTGAGTGAAAATTTGCTATTTTTCGGTCCCGGTGGCATTCGTATTCGGTGCAGTATTTTTATACACAATTTGACATTTTTGGAATAATTTGATTGTAAAATTACATATTATTAGCGGGTGTGGTGAGTTGTGATTGTACAGGCCGAATTTGCGGTAAATAAAGGCTCAACAGCCCAACAAAAAAAAGGTGAAGCAGTTTGCATATTTCACTAGAAGCCCAAAGAGAGAAAAAGGGGAGTGGAGGTTTTTTTTTCCTGGATAGCAGCCGCACATCATCATTCACTTTTTCTTTTCATTTTTCGGAAGTTAGCCGCAGCAGCATGTTTTCGTTCTTCTCTGGGAACAAGCAACCGACGTTTTTCTTTTAAGAACACATTAGCCGCAGCAGTTTTCTTCTTCTTCTTCTTCTATACAATTAGCCGCTGAAATCAAACGAGCAAGCAGCGATTTTTTTTCCTTCTCTTCTGAATTAGCCGCAGCAGCAAGGAGATACCGATGGGTTGACTTTTCTTCATTTTCTTTCTATTCAATTTACATTTCAAGCAATTATTGTAAGTTTCAGCAATTATTTACATCATTAGTTCTTAGTTTTGGATTGAATTTCATACTTGTTCTTCTCCAATTAATTAATTTCCGAATTTCCCATTTAAATAACTCATCCTTTTCTATCTACTTTAATCGATTGTTTATGTTGTGCCTATCATGTTTATCAATATTATTGTGATGTTAATTTTAGTTATGAGTAGCTAATTCCATATAGGGTTTGAATTGAGGCTAGGGTTCATGGGTTCTTGAAGGTGTGAATTTAGTTTTTGAAATTCAATTGATTTTCTGGAAAATTGTATAAGATTAATCATAATTGCCTATATGAATTTGATCACCTCATATATGAATTTTTGGATTTAATTCAATTCTTGTCTATGAGAAATTGAGTTAAATTAGCTTGGATCTTATGTGAGCAATCTGATCTTAGAAATAAGATAGGATTGTGAAAATATGATTTAATTCTTGTCTATGAGAATTTATATCATTTTCTTTTTCCAGGAATAATTGAAAATTAATTTACTTACTTCTAATCCCGAAAGAACACCCAGAACCCAAACCATCCAATTTGAACCCTGTTTTAATATCTAGAAACAATTTAAATATTTTTTTTTCTATTTATTTTTGCACTCGCTATTAGCTAGTTTTTTTTACCAGCCAAAAAAAATTATTCGGAAAGATTACCATGACTTGTGCTAGCCTGTGATCACGGATTGTATTTAAAACTTCCTTTTTGCCACTCTTTAAGAGACGATACTCGTGGTCTGGTTATTCTACGGATAAACCAACTACGTTTTACTCACTAAAAAAATACACCGATCAACTTGTCATCGGGTATTTTGAAAGTAAAGCTAAGATTATGTTTTTTTTATAAGTATCCTCAATGATAAACTTCATGAGATAGGAAATGAAATCCTATCTGGGTCGAACCTAATAGTACCCACTTCACATTTGACATTTGAATGTTCATTTTTTTTTTTAAATTTTGCCATGATGTATTCTCAATTCTACGACATCATATATTCTGGAAATAAAGATTACCATTGAATGTATTACGAATTCAATGTATTAGGAATTCTACTACTTGGGCGGTTTTACTGAGGAGGCACAATTCAAGGTATTACAAATTCAACTATTACCATTACGAAGTAGTTGTAATTAACACTTCATGGGTACGACTCCCATTATCAAAGTAATAACACATTAAGGTCACTCACCTGAGCTTCGTGAAGATGGTCGTTCAGTCTTTACATTCAGTTTATGAAATCCCAAAACCATTAACATGTAGATGCCTTAGGTCCCCTACTCCACATCCATGAAAGAATTCTTTAGACTTCCTCACCGATGACCAGACGAGGGATATAGGTTGAGAAGTACGATAAAGAACCCTAATTTGGAATTGTACGGTGATACATGAAAATAGTTTTCCCTACCTTCTCTTAAGATGTAACCGGGGTTGACGTGAAAAAATATCCAAGTTTAGCAAATGCACCGGTCCATGCATATTAGATTCACTTGAGAATCATTGGCCGCGTTTCGTTCATGTAGACCCATCAGATGCTTTGCAAATACTAAACGTGTTAATGTGACGCTTTCTAAAGTAGGAGGGTTCAAGTGTTTATTTTGGGACAGTAGAAGGGCATATTTGCCCCCTTTCCCAAGTTTATTTGACATTTTTCTAAAAACGTTGGTGATTATGTGAACGTAACTTCTTAAAAATTGATATTATCTCCCGTATATTCCCTTTTGAGTAAAGCGTCAATTTAGTATCTCAGTTTGTCTCTGATGGAGTAAAAAATAAGTGTACTTATATCTGAGCTCATAGAGTACTTCAACTTGCAAGTTGCAACAAAGTTATAAAAGTACCTCAACTTGTACTAGAAAACCAAATCGTTTAGGAGATCATCTAGCAGTTTGGTGCCTAGGACCCTGGATTTCCGCAAATTATATCGTACACCTGGTTGTACCGTGCGCAAGGTACAATCAAGCTTTTGTTCTTCTGTGCACCTCCCAACAACAAAGATGAAGGACGATCTCCGACCACGAGCAACCTTCGGTGGCGAGCGGACCCAGGCAGCGAGTCAACCTCCAGTATTGGCGACAGATGAGGAGCGGAAATCGACGGAGATTTCCGACGAGTTCTGCCTGGACGAGTCGCGAGCAGCCCCCGGCGACAAGTCGACAACCGACGAGCGACAAACCCCCCCCTATAATTAGGGAGCGATTCCAGGTACATGCGACAAATGACGGATCTCAGCTTCGGAGATGGCGATTTTCAACGAATCTAGAGTATCGCGCGGATGGCAATTTCATTCTAGTGATATACGGTTTTACTAATATGAACATATACAAATGAAAATTTGAGCATAATAGAGATTTTAAATGAGCCTTTTGAATTTTTGATACTCATTTCGTAATTTATGTATGCTCATTGGATATTGGTGTAATACTCATTTTAAAATGTCACATTCATGCATATTTCAGAAGATAATATTACATGAATCTTCACTTATTGGATTCATACGAGTTCATTGTAGATATATTAAAAAATAAGAAAAACAAAGTGGATGATAAGATATGAAGCTGATATAACTATATTCATTATTACATTCTCAATACTTAGTAGAGTAGATCTTATGTCACGAATTGGATTTAAATTATTGAAATGTCATGGTTAGTACGATGATCATCCTGCGGCCAACCATAGGGTATAAGCTTCCCTAGGCTTGCTTATCATTTTTCCGAGTTGTCCAACTATATTGGGAAAAGGGCAAATAAGACCACATACTAACAAAAAAGGTCAAATAAGGCCTTATTTATGAGGTTATGCCCGGCCTTCGCCATTTGGGGTGGTTCTCGGTAGAATTTTTTGATGAATTTTTTTGACCATCTTATTTATTAAGTCCAGTTTACTCATACCAAATTTCAGCTAACAATTCAACCGGGAAGACATTCAAATGAATTCTGGAAGATAACTGCACTTTTAACTGCAGAGTTATCTTCAAGAATTCATTTGAATGCCTTCCCGATTGAAGTTTTAGCAGAAATTTGGTATGAGTAAACTAGACTTACTGAATTAGATGCTCAAAAAATTTCTTCAAAAAATTCCACCGGGAACCACCCCAAATGACAACGGCTGGACAAAACCTTTTAAATAAGGTTTTATTTGACCTTTTTTTATTAGTACGTGACCTTATTTGATCTTTGAAGAATGCATTTTTATTCATGTAATCTTTACGATATCATATTCGGAGTACCAAATTAACCCTTTACAAGTTTTGAACTCCCACGAATTGAGCACAGGGACGAATTGAGCACAGGGAAGAAACTTATCCATGGATATTCTCAAGCAGGAGCTTGAGAAGAGGCGAAACAGCCTACGGCAAGACGTCGGAGGCAAAAAAGTTTTCAAGCGCTCCGAGATCGAGCAGAAACGCCTTCAGCGGCTACACGAGGAAGAGAAACGCGAAGCTGAAGCAAAAGCCGTCCGCAAGAAGCAATCTGAACAGCAACACAACTCCTGCGCCAACTCTTCATCAAATCCCAACTCCAATTCGGACCACCTTAGTAAATCCAACGCCGAATTCAACACTTCCTCGAAAACCCTAACCCTAACCGACGAACAAAAGATCGACTCACTCAATCTTCCGAGACAAGAAGTTATTCGCAGACTCCGATTTCTGAAACAACCCGTCACTTTATTCGGAGAAGACGATGAGGCCAGACTCGATAGATTGAAATATGTGCTGAAAGCGGGGCTGTTTGAAGTGGACGACAGCGACATGACAGAGGGGCAAACGAATGATTTCCTGCGTGACATTGTGGAATTGAAGAAAAGACAAAAGTCCGGAATCATAAGTGAAAGGAAGCGGAAATCTACAGATGAGGGAGAGGACAAAGATGGGGGAGGTGGCGATGAAGATTTGAGCGGGGAGGGAGGGTCGTCAGGAGTGGATTACGATAAGGATTTGAAGAGGATGAAGACTAAATTTGAGGAACTATGCGATGAGGACAAGATTTTGGTTTTCTTTAAGAGATTGCTTAACGAGTGGAGTCAAGAACTTGCTGAGATGAGTGAGGCTGAAAAGAGGACTGCAAAAGGGAAATCTATGGTTGCTACATTCAAGCAGTGTGCTAGGTACTTGAATCCTCTATTCAAGTTCTGCAGGAAGAAGGTTAGTATACATAATTCTATTGTGTTGTATACTTGTATAATTCTTTATGCCTGTATTAAGCAGAGTTGCATGTACAAGTGCATTGGCACAAAAACTAAGACTTTTCTTTTAATGGTGTCAGATAAACTGAGTTTTTTGTTCGTTGAAATGGGGATCATAATAATTGTTTGAAGTGTTTTTCGATAGAACTAGGAAGGTTCAATGCAGACTCATAATATGGTCCTCATCGGGGCCAGTGGGCCATTAATTCTCACAAGTAGGTGCTATATTAATTTAAGCGCATATGTGATCATGTTGGTCAAATCAGAACTGATCATATGGATCAAGTTGGAACAAGAAGCGACTCCTTGAATTGTCCTTTATGCAAACTGTTGTGGAAGGTTCAATTGTACCTTTGCTCCTATGACCTTATGGTCTAGTTATATTTGTGGGCATCTAAATCTGTGGTCGAACTGATTGGACTTGCTTTGATTGGCCAACCTTAGATCAGTGGATACTTCTTACTTACGGAAATGCTGATGTAATATAGTTGTATTATTACTAGATTGAAGAATAAAACTAGTGATGCTTGATGTGTTTGTATAATTACTAGATTGAAGAATAAAACTAGTGATGTATGATGTGTTTGATTGGTCGGGCATGGAATATGAGCATTGAAGGAAATCAAGGATTTAATTAGTTCACTTTCAAGTGAAATGGATCATGTGTCCGTACAAGTAGTTTGAAATTGATTGCTGGTTCTTGTTAACACCCACTAAGCATCACCACTGGTAAATGTTATTTATCCTATGTTTCTTTGTATTCAATATAGACCAAGAGTCGTGTATTGCATAGACATAAATTTCATATTTATAACACGGTTAATTTTAAATGACTGTTAATCTGCTTTTAAAGTGTTGCCTAGTTTTAATTTGTTTCTTGTTTTATGGTAACTGTCAGTTCTATTTATAGAAGGTATATAGCGTTATGTTGAATGACGCCCCTCATATGCTACGTCTAATACTTTATCAAATCGATCGAGAATGTCATCATCGGTTAGGTGGGCCAACCGACCGGCTGAGTTGGGCTGGGCGTCCATTTGTTTCTTGTTTTATGGTAACTGTCAGTTCTATTTGAAGAAGGTATATAGCGTTATGTTGAATGACGCCCCTCATATGCTACGTCTAATATTTTATCAAATCGATCGAGAATGTCATCATCTGTTAGGTGGGCCAACCGACCGGCTGAGTTGGGCTGGGCGTCCATATTACAGAACCTTTCTCTAGCCAAGAATCCCATTTCAGGGCGCTCACATATTCTTTTTTCGTTGTAGTTTTTTCCATTCTTACGCATAAACTTGAGACATTTTATGGAAACCAGTATTATAATCAACTTAATCTGAAATTAATTAGCCCTGCTTAATCTTTGTCAACAATCTGTACACCTTTCTTTTAAAAATAATACCATGTAAATTAGCCCTGCTTAATCTTTGTCAACAATGTTTTACACTGGATGCCCATCTCATTACAACCTTCTTAAGCAGGAATAATGAAATGAAAATTCTAAAACTGTCATCATCATAGATTCTTTTATTATTTGCACATGTACGTAATATATCATGAGATTGATGGGTTGAGATATTTGATATTATCTAGGTACTGCCTGATGATATCCAGCAAGCATTACTTTTGATGGTAAAGTGCTGCATGGAGAGAGATTATCTAGCAGCCATGGACCATTACATCAGGATGGCCATAGGTAATGCACCTTGGCCTATTGGTGTTACTATGGTTGGTATCCATGAACGTTCGGCCCGTGAAAAGATCTATACAAACAGTGTTGCACATATCATGAATGACGAGACAACTCGAAAGTATCTGCAGTCCGTTAAGAGATTGATGACATTCTGCCAACGTCGCTACCCTACTGCCCCATCAAAAGCAGTTGAGTTCAACAGTCTGGCCAATGGCAGTGATCTGCAGTCCTTACTTGCAGAAGAGAAGTCTTCATCCTCAGAGGACAAGCTGCTACGTCTATTACCTGCCTGAGGTATCTTGGCCATTACATTGAAATCTACAGTGTTAATTATGTTCCACCAACTCAGCAATGTACGAAAGGTGAACCTACACAACAAAATGCCACCCTGTGAAAGGTTCCCCCATAAATTCATAAAAGTAGAAACTCAAGATTATCAGGTTTCTCATTGTAGAAGTATTGGGTTTGAACTATTAGTAATTTTAATGATGTGATTTAATGTGGAAAACGATATAAGATGATGGTAAATTTATGATTAATGAAATTGTTATAGACAGGTGTATTTAGGTGGACCCGAGCCGGTTCGTGTTCCAGACTGGTCCGTTCCTCTCCTATTTTGGAAGAACTGGAAAAATTTTTTAATGGTTCTGATCCGGAATGAAAACCAGGCAACCTGGCTGATTCTTAAATCGTGATTCTAAAATCGAACCGGGTTCACCCTGAGGGGATTTGACAGTATGCCGTTGTTGGTTTTTCCTGAGGGGATTTGACAGTATGCCGTTGTTGGTTTTTAGGAATGTTTTGGTGACTTGTTTCTTTTTTCACAAGAAAAGAAGTGATCTGATCGCAAATTGTTCAAGATCTAACTTGTGCCTGTTTTTTTTTCCACATGTTTTTTATACAAGTTATTCTGCTATGATTATGATTTTGTTTGCTTTAAATGCTTCTGTTCTCTGTTTTGAATGTGTGGTTTTGTTTGAACTTTGAAATATAACATTTCGGCAGATCTGGTCTAAATTTGTTGGATTTGATCTGATATGAAAATTAGAGATATGGTTTAATCTCATTAATGTCACAATATTAGAATATGATATAAGAAAAAAGAAGGGGAAACTGTCAAATAGGGTGGTACTAGTATATCTAAATTGACAATTAACTCAAGCTCTCGAACCTAAAAACACTAGAAACTTTAGAGAAATGCACTAGTTTAGCAGGATTTCCTTTCTTTTCCCCCCCTTCTATCTCCCCTCCTTTCTTCTTCAACCATTCGTAGCAGACCTCCTCCTTCTTCTTTCTTCTTCCATCCATCACAGCAGACCTTCCCCTTTCTTCTTCCACCCCACCTGCCTGGCAAGAAATCAACTTTTTCTTTCTTTTGTCCATTATTTCTTCCTAACTGCTTTCTCACTGGAATATGTGTCGACATTGAACTATCCTCCTTGCCCATCATTCCTTTATTGCTTCCTTCTGTTGTTGGTCATTGTGGACACAATGCAGGAGTTTATGGTTATTGAACAAAGCTTTTGCAATAGGAGATCCGTCCTCCTCTGTTCGGATATTCGGTGACGTGCGTTATTTTCTGGTATTGGCGAAGCAGGGATTACATGTATTAATGACCTCCTATGTTATATGCGTTACTCTCTCAAACGGTCAACCTGTCACATTTCGAGCCCATTTGATGACACTGTTTTTGGCTTATCAGTCAAACTTTTCACAAAACATATGGCTTTTGATTTTTGGTGCTATATGTGTAATAATAAAAAAGTAAGATTGAAGTTACTTTTTTGTTTGTATTGGACGGAGTTACTATAGAAGATCATTTTAGCCATTTTCATATAGTTTTTCTTTATTTTATTAATAAAAAATATTTTAATTTTCTCTCTCCACAAATTAGCAGAATCAGCCAAACCAGTCACTTCAGCCCGAACTTCATAAGTTTCAAGTTTTCAACAGAATCAATCGGTTCAGCCAATTTCAATGTTATCAAATGAACTCTTCATATATGAAATATAAAGGCTAAAGGGTCAAATAGACGCTTGAACTGACTTAAAGTGTTCAATTAGCCCTTATATAGAAGGTTCTGCTTGGCCGTCGCTAATTGGGGCAATTCCAGGTGAAATTTTTTGACGAGATTTTTTGACCATCTTCTTTATTAAGTCTAGTTTATCCATACTAAATTTCGGCTAAAAATTCAACCGGGAATGAATATAACACTCACAGCACACAGCCACAGTCTACTTCCGAAAAGCCTAAACCCCCATTTTGCCTTCCTATGGACAAAGCGATGAAGAAGGCCCGCGACAGCCCACCAATTAGCCACACAACCTTACCACTCCTAAAGCACAAAACAATTCATGAAAAAGCACGATCGAATCTCCAAAGGGAAAGCCGCATGAACGAACTCGGCGGAAAAACCCTTACATGTTGTAGGGAGACGGCCGCAATATGCCATCCCGTTTTTTGACCCAACACACTTCAATCTGCCGCCGCCACACTCAGCCCTCGCAATCTGCCATTGTCGAATCTCCAAACTTGCTTCCCTACCTTCCTTGTGAACAAAGGTCGTCGAATTCGTTCTCTGCAGTTACCAACAAGGAGGTCCTACATGGACACCCCCCAAACCAACTGTTATTATGAAAGCAGACCTTCATCCCTATCCTCTGGCACCCGTCAGTGGTACTACTCCTCGAGGGTTTTTGTAACAGCCATCTAGCTATTAAAATTAAGAAATTGAAAATTGTAAATTGTAAATTGAAAAGTGAAAAAAACAAGCCGCACTCACTAGGCCGTAGACACTGTTCTCAGTATGTGAGAGAGTGAAGCTAGGTGTACAAGTAGTATATTTGTCTATCTGTCGGGAGATGACAACTCTGTCGGGAGATGAGTTGTCTGTGGACAGAGAACACTTTTCATGGGGTACTTGATTAGTTATTAAATTGGTTCTATATAAACATAAAAAATACACACTATTACAGTATTACATATACTTCCCAAATCCCAATTACGTACATCAGACTCCGTATTCAAAATCAAAATTAAATATAAGGCTAACCGCAACCCGTCTCCATCAATAAACTAAATATTCCACTACTTTATACGTATTCATTCAGTCAATTCAATTTTTTCTGCAACCCACCACCGTCAATATATTCACACACAACATAGTTTTTTAATTAAAACTTTAGTTTTATTGTTATACATCAATATTTTTTGCAATTTTTTGTTGTCAATAATTATGATTTGAAAAATCAAACATTCCGATGTAAAAATAAATAAATTTGGAAATTAATTTTTTAGTGGCTATTTCAAACCTATTTTGTAAAGAAAAATAATTGAATGATATAAAAATATAGTTTAACTTTGAGATCTTAATTTGAACACTTAGAATCTATTTTTTTAAAAAATTAGGTATAAAAATCTCGATCGAGCAATTGAAATTTCATTTTTCTTCAACTTTGTATATTTCTTTTTCCTGAATAGAACTTTGTATATTCAATATTGGTGTTAAATGAAAGAGAATAAAAAGTTATGAAATTTGATATATTTTTTGTGAAAATTGGAATACAAATAAAAAAGTTATGATACATTTAATAAAATTGGGATATAATTTAACGTGGGCCCATGAATTAATTTCCATACACTCAAAAAGCTATTGAGCTAAGTGCTTGATCCTTTATTCCGTGAATAAGGAACTACGTTTTCACTCAAGAGGGGCTCTCAATCCACTATAGCTCCTTGGTATACTATGGGTTGTAGGTGTTTGTTGGGGTGAAAAGCTCAATAATAGCTTTTTCACCCTTGGATTGCAATCGGCCTAAGTGAGTACTAGTGTTATTTATAGATATATTTCTAAGATTGTGTAATTGGAGTCACAGTTATTGCCCATCTAAGTTCATGTGTATTTTAGTTTATTTTTTAAATCATCAAACTTTAAAATTATACTTCCTCCGTTCTTTTTTAGTTGCAACGGTCAACATTTCACACTTGCCAACGCACATCTTTGACCGTAATTATATCTTAATCCCTATTAGTAAAAAATATTTAAAAATTAGATTTTGAAAATTTGTAATGAGATGAATTGAACAATATAATTTAAAAAAAATAATTTTCATAAAATAATAATATAAAATGTAGTCAAAGTAGAACATGTGAATAATGTAAAATTCAACATGTTGCGATTAAAAAGAGACGGAGGATAGTATATTTTTACTTGGCTTATATTGTATTATTATTATAAAATTATGTAAGGAATACCATTTTCAATTCATGAATTTAATCTTATATATTTGGTGTTGACTGGGGTTACCGGTAGACAATAGTTGACCGTGTTGACCTGCCGAATCCGGGTTGACCCTTGATCGGGTCATTTGTCTGGGTCGCTTCCCGGTATGGTGTTTACAACAAAGGTACAATGTGTTCATTTTAGGAGGATAATAATTTTTTATAAGAAACCAAAAAATGTAAGAAACGAGCCGTCTTTTAACAACTATATTTTTTTTTTTTACTGAAAACCGAACTGAATTTAACGCCTGCAATTTGTAATATGATTCTATCGAATTTTAACCAGAACTGAACTAATCCCACACCTACTAGAAGGAGTGAAGTTTTGAGTTCTTATAATGAAAGAAACGATACTATATTAGAACAAATAAACTAGTATGAATCATTCTTGACCTACACAAATTGTACACTACTTATATACACAAACATTTTGTCATAAAATATTACCCTTTTTTCAAATGGATTACAATCAACTAGAGGAATTGTGTGCAAATTGTGTACTAATTCTCTTTACAAGAAGATTTTTTCATGTACTAGTATAAGACGACCCCACAATGGACTGATATTTTTTTTTATGGAACCACAATGGATGATTAGGAAGGGGTTTTAACTTTTTTAACAAAAATGGATTAGTTTATTCTTGACCCACCATTACATGTTACGGACTACGGAGTATCTGCTCTTCAGAGAACGTTTTTCTGACACGTGTCGGCATCTTCGAGCAACCAAAGACCCACACTCTCCACTGCCCCGCTTTCCATTTATCTCTCACATTCTTCTCCTTCGCGCCCTTCCGGATCTATGGCGGATACTCCCGACCCGAATCCGAAGCGTTCATGTTGCATCTCCACGGATCCATCTAAGCATCCTTTCAATCATATGCTTCATCTAGATCAGGCCGATTCGCTTCTGAAGTCGTTCCTTGGCCTCTCCAACACAGCTCTTGACCGTTCCTTCAATCGCCTCCTCGATTCCTGCCCTGGCCCTACCGATCAGGGGGACACCATCGAATGTGCGCTCCGATTGGGCTCCGCTCTTCTTGTGGCTGGCAAACGAGCTTCCAGAGGTCTCGCCTCTGACCACAACGCTGCCATTTGGGCGCTTTCTTCTGACCTCACCATCAAAGTACATCTGTCTTTGTTTAAATATTGGAGTGTAGTGGATTTCTAGTGGTTCATAATTCTTCATCTCGTTAAGTTAGTTTTCTGCTGAAATGTCTCTATTGGAGTACTTGAAGCTCAAATTCGTACTTCATTTCTGATATTTTGTCATGAAAGTGAAGGGAATGTTAAATTTTGGACTTCTACTGTTGCTTTGCAGGTCTTCTCGCTGCTTGATACACAGAGTGTATGCTATGCAGCAGCTACTTGCTCTTTCTTTCATAAGTGTGCGGCCGACCCTGCTTGCTATGCTAATATCGACTTGGTTACTATGGTTCCCAAGGTCAATAACCTTATTTTGGCAACCATGATTCAGCGTGCTGGAAAAGCATTCAGGTAAGATACGTGGCTTATTAAAGTCTGAAACGTACCTATTCTAGACTTCTGGTGCCGAAGGCTTGCACTAAGCTGCAATATAATTATATAATTCCAGATAAGAAAAATGTAATATTGTAGTCCCCTATGTTGCACAGACACATATACTCAGAGACGAGGACACTCAAAAACAGACACGGTAAAATGTTGTTTATCTAAACATAGAAGCTGGGAAATTATTACAGTAATACAGTTATAATTATTAAAAAAATAAGGACTTATATATTAATATATAGAAATATACAAGAATACCTTTTATGCATGTAAACAATTTTTTAAGGCAACAGTTTCCCTAATTATTTTTTTATTCGAAAGAAATATTTATAGAATATAGAATAACTACATACATCAAGTGTTCCAAACTAAAATCACAAAACAATGTCAAAGTAAAACGATGCTTAATAGTTTACCTTTTAAAATTCCAAGAAAAAATGTCAAAGAATATCTATAACTCAAGTGTTCCTATATAATTAATTAATGCGGCCAAAATCATCTCTGTTTTTATCCTACATTTTTATCTTCACATCATATATGATATTTAGAAGTGTTCTTTAATAGAATATATAGAAGAATATTATTATGGAATAAAAGTAAATTATGTACATTTAGACACATTTTTTTAATGGATACATGTGTCTTATTTTAGATAAATTATGACACGGCCCAAAGACACGGATACACGACGTAAAACGTCTTATGTTAAGTGTTTTCGACTGTTCGTGCATCATAGTTAGTCCTGCAGGGATGATTCAGTAGTAGAGGTCTCCTGCATTGTACAAAGGATAACTCTATGACACTTCAATATATGAATTCTTACGAAATCTAGGCCCAACTGGAATTGCAGTTTGAACTCTGAGGGTATCTTCTTGTACCTTATAGCACTAACTTTTAAAAGTCATGAGTGGAACCTGTTTATATTGCCTTAGTTTCAGAGTCACCTGAATTTAAGATGGGTCAGCAAGAGCTAGAAACTGTGGGATTTAAGTAAATATTTCAGTTCATTAGGTATTGCAAATCATGTTGATTGGGTGCTTGAAGATTCAAAACTGGCGGTAATATAGCAAATGAAAGGATTGTGAAATTCCATTATTTTCAAACAAGTACCATGTGATTAATTAAGAAGGGGAACCTTGGTGCACCGGTTATGGTGTTGTTGTGTGACTGAGAGGTCACGGGTTCAAGTCTTTGGGTTGAAGTCTTGGGAGTGGCCTCTTGTCAAAATGATAAGGGAAGGATTGCCTCCATACACCCTTTTGGTGGTCTCTCCCCCGGACCCTGGCCTTGTGGGGACTCCAATATGCACCAGGCTGCCTCTTTACCATATGATCAATAAACTTCAAACAAATACAGGTCTCTTAAACTTGGAGTTGCACCCACTCCTCTAACTGCTGCATCGGGATCATCCCAACCACTAGTGTGTTCAATAAGAAACTCAGTGGATTCTGCTGGGTTTTCATGGATTGACAAGAAGTCTAGACAGGGAAAAGAGTCATTTTTTCTTACAAGATCCTGCTTGGCCCCCTTGAGTTCCAATGGCGGCACCACAGGGTATTCTTCAATAGCAGTGAAATAACTAGTTCATTAATTTTTTTTATCTTCAAAATTATGTTGTTGTTATTGACCAATATCTAATCCTGTTTTTCTTTACCCTTTCATTGTGCTCGACACTGTTAAGGTCCTATATGAAAAGGTTGCATCTTTACAACATTGAAAGACTGGATGATGCAGCACTTTACGTGGCTTTATCAGTTTGTTCATCTTTGTGTGATGTTGAATTAGTTGGGCTGTAAGTATCAATGCTATTTTTTTTAAAATTTAAGAATGTTTGGTTTTAATTTTAATTTCATTTATATCTATTCTCTGTTTTGAAGAAGTGATCCCCACAAGTTGCTAACTACGTATTATGGAAACGGTTTGGTATATATACCAAATAATAATTTTAGGAACAATGTTAACAGTTTGAAAACACGGGTTCTCACGAAAACAGTTAAAAACCACAAAATACTAATTTTTTATTATCTATGCAATTCCCCTCATACCTCTCCCAGGAAAAGATTACCCGAAACATAGAAGTTGCATAGAGAATAAACATGATAGAGACCTAAGAACATTATTAAGTCTTTTAATATTTTGTAATAAAAGGGGTTTAGGCCTTATAACTAAGTAGAGGTGGGCTGGCCCATTAGAGAATGAATAAATAAGGTGAGTGGGGAATAGAAAGGGGAGGTTGGAATTATCTTAGGCTTGGGACTGGGAGTCGGAACCTTGTTACGACTTGGGAATTGTATTCGTATATCTCAGTTTAATCAATAAACTTCTGCTTTCAATCTTCTTCACCAATTTTGAGCTCAGAATTACTGTTGAATTACCCATAACCTAACAAAACAATCACTCATCTACTTTTGTAAAGTTACAAAATGAATCAACAATATTTTGTCGCTATACATCACATTTATTTTGTGCTATTTAGTGCTGTCTCCATTTTTCTCTTACAAGAAAGGTACGCATATGGTGCAGTAAACCAAATTTTTAGTGTAATTCTCATGCTCTCTGTGAACATTCTCATGGTGCTGAATTTCCAATTAAGCACCTATTAACTTGAATCTTGAAAGAAATATGAAATAATTGAAGTGTGACAATATAATCCCTTATGAGGGGTCTTCCCTCTTCAAATGGCATAATCTTCCTAAAGGATTCAAAATCCAGGCAGTTGGACAAACTTACATGTTTACCTTGAATATCCTGACATATTCTTGGTACAAATTTTGGCAGGGTATATATTTAAATAGGAAAATATATTGTATCATCCAATATAACTATTCAGATAGGTTTTTTTATGCGTGGTTGCATCATCTGATTTTGATCTTTCAGTATCCTTTGCAATCAAGATGTTCCACACCAACAATCAAGTGCAGTCACATCTAAAATCGTGGAAATTTATTTTGGAACAACACATCCAATATTTGCATGGTTGCGCCATATATCTGTCTTAATAATGAACCAGCATCTTTAGCCAAAATTGTCTAATGCATTCCCATTATTCCGCTCCCTTCACATTTAACAATCTAGCAGCATATATTTTTATCATGCAAATATTTTCAATGCTACATGCATCTTTTACTTGTCAAAACCAGTACAGCCCATTGGACCATTTATTAAGCTTAGTCAAGCAAAACAGATAAAGTTAGCAAATCATTTAGACGGTTGAGGCCAACTAGAGAATAATTGGAGTGTCTAGGAGGAATTTAGATTGCAATATGAGGATACTTCAATTTGCAAGTGTTTCAGTTTTATCCAATTCGATTATGTCTCTTTTAGATTTCACATTTGTCTCCTCAGCAGTCAACTCTTTGCTTTTATTAAATGGACTTGGTATAAAGTCGATTGGTTGGACAGTTGAACTTTTGTTTGAATTTAGATTTCTGAGTTCGCATATAAATGAAGCGAAGTGCATAACTCAAAGTGGTTTGCTACCCGTTTATTGTTTGTTTAACTTGATTTCTTTTCTTGTGTAGTAATGTTGATTTAAGCCTGACAATTGGATCAATAAGCACATCATGTCCTCTTATTGAGCGACTATTCTTGGAGTCGTCAAAAGCAGGTGCATTCTCTTCTGATTTTGTATAAGACTTTTTACCTCAGAGAAAAATTCTCATTCTAGCCCTTGTTATTCAGGTAGAGATTGCAGTTTGAAACTTCAACTTTGCTGTGATCTATCAAGTAATTGTCCGAATCTATCTTCACTGACACTTAGAGGATTTAAGTTGCATGACTCCAGAGTCCGTGTACTTGTTAAGGTGGTGTTTGGCCTTTCCTGAACAAATAATTTATTCACTGTGATTAGATTTTCTTTGTCTGTTTTATTTAGTTTTCTCCAACTGCAGAATTTTCTTTTATCTAACTATTTTCTGTATTTCTGGCAACTCAGCCAAACTCAGCTTGTTTTGTTCTTGTGTGTTAGTACTTTGTGCATTTTAAGTTGGGTTATTACACAAATAAAATCCGAAGTTGAGAGGTTGTGACAAAATTAGTCCATCGTATACATAATTAGGTAGTATTAAAAAGGAGCCACCTTTTCAGTATTCAAGACAATACTATTATCTGTCCAATTTGGATTTGTTGAATGCCTATGTGTTCTCACCACCTAAGCAATAATGTTTTATTTTATAAGTCAATGTGTCTTTGATTTTATATATTTTCTTAAAAAATTGTATATTTTCTACTCCTCCAAAATTACTCAAAGCACCAACCCTACTCTCTCTTGTATCTGATATATAGGCTATATATACAGTGAATAGAAACAATAAAGAATTTATCGACATATCAACAATTGTTAGAAGCCAAAGTAGCATGGATATGGGATAATTATGCTTCTAAACGATGACTGCTTTTAAAAATTATGGATGAAATGAGACGGATCATAGTTTTGTCTTGAGTATTCAAGTGATGGCTTCTTTTATACACACACACACACACGATACGCTAATTTGATCAGTAACTCCAAACGTTGGATTTGTTTTGTGTTATAACTAATAAGCCATTTAATTTACATTATCCTACTTTTTCTTTTTGTGGCTGTGTGATGTTTAGCTGTGTTTTGACCATTGCGCCTTTTTTGCAGGGGCTTCGTAAGCTTAAGCACATTGACTTTTCAACATCTTATTCAGTCACTGGCACTTTTCTTAAGTATGTTTTTAGACTAAACTTTTTTCGACTGTCTTCATAATCAAAAGTGCAAAATTCTTTCACACATGTTCTAATAATTTAGCAGCTCCACAGGAACCTTGGTGGCAATGCAGGCGGGAATTTACTTGAGGCATTGATTTTGAAGGATTGTGTGCATTTGAAAGAAGTAACAATTATGAATTACCACTTCCTTTTTATTACTCCCTCCGTCCCGTAAAACTTCGCCAACTTTCCTTTTTAGTCCGTCCCAAAATACTTTGCCACTTTCTATTTTTGGCTAAAACATGAAACTAAAAGTACATTTTTACCCTCCACTCCATTTAATTCTTTTAGTATATCCGCATAGCCTTTTAAATCCACCCACCTCAAGCACCGATCTGGAGTCTACCCATCCTCATTATACTCCATCCCCAATTAAGTTCTTCAGCCCATAGCAAGGAGCAGTCTTACGGACATATATTAGCAATCGATAAAGTAGGTAAAGGTGGAGGTAAAAATTTCAGCTTGAAATTGCCGGCGGCGATAAAGGATGTTAAGGTGGAGGTGGCGGTGAAGGCTGTGGATCTCGTTCTCTTATTTTGTCTTGTTGAACCCTTCCTCTTTCAAACTTATATGTCGTTCATGTCCATGGGCAGTGAGACTCTCGAATCTGAATTGGAGGATGTTAGCAGATCCTTTACTTTCATGGTTGAAAGTCTACCGACTCTAAAAATTACTTTGTAGACTTGGGAGAAGCTTTTAACGAAACGAGATCTCTGAATGCGAAAAGCACTCTTGAGGTCAAAGGAGGTTCAGGAACTTCAGATACAGCGGAATAACAATAGAATGGCGAAAAAGGCGATGTACTGTTAATTTTTACTGTTCACTTTTAATAGATCTACGCTCTCTCTCCTTTCCGTCATTTAAAGGGCATTTTGGTCCGGTCAAATGGTTTTACTGGTTCTCCTTATTTGTAGTGCCAGTCAACATTGGCGAAGTAATTCGGGACGGAGGTAGTATTTCTTCATTCAAATAGATAGTAAATGTATTTTTTACTTGTGCCCAATGTAGGTGGAAGTAGCGAGGTTCTTTTCGGCAGTTCTTGCAGGGAATTTCAGCCATCTGAAACATCTTGTAAGTTTAAGGGTCCTTTTGGAACTCGAAAGTAGGCAGGGAGATATAACAGAGATACAACTAAAGAGAAATTCGGTGAAACAATGTGGGTGAAAATAATATGATGGTTCAAACTCAACAAATTTATTTTTGAAATTTGCTTGAAGTCATTTTATTTATTCTACTAAGATTTCCTTATGACTTGATTCACCTAATCATTCTACTAAGATTTGTCCTTTTTGGTGATGGGTGTCCTTTAGATTCTCAAAGTATTTTCTTTCCCACTTTGTTTATGGCCTGCTCCATTGATAACCACACATCCTCCATATGTGCGTCATTATCAATGTACCATATATCTTCATTGAACATTTTGTGCGCAAAGCTTTGTTGGAGAACCCCCTCGAGCCTCCATCAGTTTATTTTTGGCTTCACTTGTTGCTTAACCTACCTTCTATGCTTTTTACCTCAAAAACCAAGCACAAACATCATATGCAGAGTAGTGACAACACTCTCTTTTGGGATAGGCATACAATCATTGTAGCTAGTTCTCCAAGTAGTCCGTACTAAGAAATACTCCCTTCGTCCCGCTAAGATTGTCCCAGACACTATTCACATGGTCAACACAAATCACTCTTAATCTCTTACTTTATACATCAAATTTTTATCAAATTTGATTCTGGTTTTTGCGACTTCGTAAAGCTTTTAATGTAGTTTCTGAATATGTAATTTTTTTTCCTAAAAATAATTTGAGTGTGGATAGGGATCTGTTTGCTTTATCATCGGCCAAACATCGTAAACCGAATTGTCCGAAACTTAGTGCGACGGAGGTAGTAGTTAATTTGGGTACTATTATTATTAGCCCCAATTCTATAGGTGTGAGTCTTTTTTCTTGAACTAAGTATTCATTATAGCCACCTCATACATCGAAGGTAAAATCTAAAATGTTCTTTTCTAGTGCCAAAAATTTCTTCTGCAAACAACACCCCTATATCTAGCCAGTTACTCTCTTGTTGTACCAGAGGTGTGTACTGCTCGCTGCTCGCAGGTGTGCCAACTATGTGGTCCCTTGAACTATGTGACCAAAGTCCAATTTAACCCATATTTAATTGTCTTCCCTCCAGGCCGGTTTTGGAGGCCTCAAGGTTGGAATTCATTTTTTATATGAGACATGTTATGGCATGTAAACAGGACATATCCAACAGGGAAGGTCTGGCGTCTGAAGTTGATTGGTACCGCAGATGTTGCAGCAAAAGGTTGTATAACTGCTACCCACCATGCTTGTAAATTGTAGCTAAATGGCGTTTTATACAATTTATTTGTCTTATTAAGTTTACAACACAGAGATTAGAGGGGAGCTTTGACGCAATGGTTAATGTGTTGCTGTGTGACCAAGTGGTCACAGGTTCAAGTCTTGAGAGTGGTATCTTGTCAAATTGACAAGGGAAGGCTTGATCCTTATACACCCTTGAGGTGGGACCCTTTCGCGGACCCTCACTTTGCGGGGACGTCAATGTGCACTGGGCTGCCTTTTCACACTTGTCTCCAAAAATTTCCCATTTAATTTCTCATAAGTTGTATACTTTGTATCTTGAAAAGGAATATTGGTAATTAAATATTACATGTAGAGTCCTTTCTGCAGGTTTCATTTTCGGCATATTATTCTCATAAGTTAGATTCTTAACCAAACTGGCAAAAGAAGTAATGTAGGAGTTACTCTTTTGACTGAAGAGACTGAAATTGATTGGTTTACCTTTATTTTAGATATCGATTTTTTTATTTATTGAACTGTTTATTTTAAAAGCCATTTAGAGAATCTAGTTGATTCATATTAAGCCTCTTTCTAAACCATATGTGTGTACATTAGTAAAAGGACAAATATTTTGCTACTGAGTTTATTTCAATACCAGCAAATAGTTTAACCAATTACTTTTTGGTGATGCACGCAGTTTTATTCCTTTTAAGCAATTGCTGGAAGCAAGGCCTGGCTTGTGCGTATTATCCGAGTTTCCTCAAGAACCATGGTTGGCATTTATTCTATCTGGTTAAATAAAAGCCACACACACACTTTTCCATCCTAAATTGATGTGCAATTTTCCATTTTTTAAGATTGCTTGACAGGAAAGTAAATATTTCTACATCTTCTCTGTTAATATTTAATTAAGTATTCATACCTAAACTTGCATGTCAAGAAACTGTATTAAAAGTTGTATTGGAGAGATGAAACCAACATATAATATGACTTAAAAAATGATACTCAAAGTTAGATAATAAAGACTATGTGTTGACCAAGTAAAAGCATAGATCATTTTGGGAAGTTATGGAAAAAAATAGGATCAGTTTTAAAAAATTCCAAAAAAGAGATGATGGTGACTTTTATAACCTTTAAATAAAGTGACTACTTAATTTAAAGGGTATTTTAAGTTAAGGGTTAGGATTTTTATTTTAGGGTATTTTAGTCCTTTCAGTGTGCTTAATTTAGTCTTTTTTTTTGTCCAAATTAAAAGTTCTATTTGCTTATTCAAGAGGCTATAGTAGTATTTTTTCATTATTTCTATATACTGGTTAAAAAAACGACACACAAAGAAATATGCTCTTGCACATACACATATGCATGAGTTCTGTCTGGCCAAAGTTCATTCCGACTGTTTGATCACACTTCATTGGGACTGATATTTGGTTGATTAGACTCACTTATCTGTTTCTAAACCCAACCCAGCTGAAATGATTTAACCTGTGAATGTTTACACTGAAAACTCCATTTTGTAGACTGTATCATTACTCCCTTTCTCTATTGGCAGTTTATATACTCAGTATGTCTCAATTTTTTTTACTTCAATTCTTCTACAGTTGCGGCGAGCTTGTTAGCAGTAGTGAAAGCAGTGATCTTAATTCAACTTCTTCATTGTTAAGCATTTATGCAAGTGATGAATCGGCATTCATGAGTTCACCTGAGATGATTTATCATATTAGTGACCCTGGTGGTAGTAGTGGCAATGACAACAGTCAGGAGACTGCCTTTGCTATGGGTGAAGAAAGTTGGGATGAGGTGGACTTCACCCCAGACACTCACTTTTAAGAAGCACACTTACAGGACCACTCTGAGTACACTATATATTTATTTGTATATATTATGCATTTGTGCACTTTACAAACTCACTCACATGAGCTTCCCTTCAGCCAGCGCTATTACACCGTCAAAATCATCTGTTCTTTGCTTGTTTAGAGGAAAGTTGTGCCAGAATAAATGGCAACAGGACTGTTTTAATACTGAGTATTATTTATATTATTATTATATATACAAGTAATAATATTCATGTACGCCGACTTCATCCATACTAACCGTGATTTGTATATTTTTTGTGTTTGAAGGTTGAACTCTGGAAGTGTTGTGAATGTCGATGTATATTTTGTACCAGAGGGTGTTGTAGTATTGTTTTTAACTGGATAGCTAATAAATTTGTAGAAAGTTGAGTTCTCTTGTTTGAATAAATCTTGACTTTAGAGTTTTGTATAATACTACGTATAATTTTTTGTATTTCGAGCAACAACCCTTTTTGAAAGGAAAATGCTTATATTAGAATCAAATGAGCCATTACATCTAGTCATGGACTCGGGTCGGGCCGCCCGGCCCAGAACCGGTACTGTTTGGACCCGGCCCGGCCCGGTACCCGGTCATAGGACCGGTCCGGGCCACCCGAACGGGGAGTTAAGCAGGGCGGCTCGGGCCTCCTAAAAGTAGAACCGGCCTGGCCTATTTCTTTTGTTATTTTTTTCAATTTTTTTGGTTTCTCCCGGGTTGGTCTGAGTGCTTTGGGGGGTTTGGAGGGTGGGGGTGAAGGGGGGGGTCGGGGGTTAATTAGAAAAGCAAAAGAAAATTAAAAAAAAAACATGAACCGGCCCGACCAGGAACCGTTGCCTACCCGGGCCGGTTCCGGTTCTTCCTTCCCAAAAAAAAAACCCGGCTGGGCCGGAACCGGCCCGGGTCCATGACTAATTACATCAAACAAGACCCCAAGCCAACTACTCCCACTAGACCCACAATACCAAAAGCCCATCGACCCCCTCACGTCATGCTCAGACACAGGCGTGGACTCAGGCCGGGCTTAGGCTCGGGTACCCATCGGGTCCGGGCCGGACCTCCAGTTTGGTTTATTTTTTTATTTTTTTTGGCTTTCCTAACCCCCCCCCCCCCCTCACCCCCCCAACCCCCAAACCCCTCCTAATTGTCAAGCCCAACCCGGTTGGAACCCCAAAAAATGAAAAAAAAAAAATCAATTTGGCCCGGACCCCAGCCCGACCCGGCCGGGCCGGTTCGCCAATTGTAAGATCCAAGCCCGGACCCCCCTAGGCCTGACCCGGACTTGAGAACCGGGCCGGTCCCGCACAATAGCGAGCCGGGCCGGTCCACGGGCCGGGCCGGGTGGCCCGACCCGAGTCCACCACTACTCAGACATAGAATAATAGTCCACCCCAAAAAGTGTGAGACTAATCGCTAAAACGGTGAGACTTAAGAGGCTATTAGCGGCTGTACGAGCCTGATTACCTCCATCAATAACAAACCTACTTAGAAAACACCAACCCTCGTCACCCACCCGTAAATAAAAACAAGAAAGCAACAAACAATTGAGTTCTGAAAAAGAAAAACATAGCAACTAAAATAAAATTCCAGGTGGTGGATTTTGTAAGCTTCCACCCGTTGTGCATCTCCCGGCGCCTCTTCTAATTGCTTTGCAGGCGGGCGTTGTAGCCCGCCCCTCCCTGTTTTTTGGTGCGCCCGTCTCCACGTCCATATACTGTTGTTTGGTCTCTTGTTCCCCATGATCTACATGTCTTCGCTTCTGATCCACCTTATCTCCATTATGAGAAAGATCCTTCCCCTGTTGCGGTCTTCCATCTGCATCCGAGCTTGCCAACCCTATTGCCTCCTCATCTTCTTTTCCTTTTCCTTTACCAACTGGGACGAGCCATTTGTTGCCTCCCACGACTGGGTTTCCTTTTGGAGCTCTCAACTCGGGTCCAAAGAGAAAGCCTCCACTTTTGTCTTTGCCATCAGAGTAGCGCGGACAGAATCGTTCAGCATGACCTATAATACCGCAGACAAAACAAAAACTAGACAATTTTTCATACCTAAACTTGACACAAAAACTTTCCCCTTCATCTGATTGAAGAATAAGTTTCCTCCTTAAAGGCCTGTTCAAGTCAATACAAACCCTTAGTCTCATATAAGGGTTCCATTCAACCGAGAAATTCTGTTGATCCACCTTGATAAAACTCCCTACTAAATTCCCAATTTTTATAGCATTTTCCACAGGAAAGAAACCCATTGGCACATCATGAACCTGTAACCAGAAGTCAGCCTTATTCAGTGGTACCTTCAAAGGCAAATCACCTTTCTTTAACCTAGCAAGCACAATGAGATTCTGATCAAAAGTCCACGGTCCTTCCTCTAGAACACGTGACATATCATTTTCATTGTAAAATTGAAACATGTACCTTCGTGCACCTATCTCAGTAATAGTAACAACCCTTTTTATTAATAGGTTTTGGTTAAATATAATTGAATTAGAACTTATTAATTAAAATATGATTAAAGTTACTATGGTGTAATATTGTAATGTCACGATTCTTTAAAAAAATGTAATGTTACAATCACTTAGGTGTAAAAATTGAACATAAAAATAGTCACTAAAATAAAAATGACTATATTAGTCACCATGCTTAAGAGGTTACATTTTTGTCCACCATTTTTATTTTAATTATAAATATGTTATTAGTTATTACTTCATTTAATTATTTGTTACCAAATTAATACATTATTCAAAATATTTCAAATTCTTCACATTAGCTGATATATTTAGCAACATCCAGAGCCTGTTTGGTAGCACGAAAATCGACTGTTTTGGCTGACTCTTTTGAAATTTATGAAGTTCTGGCTGAAGTGGCTGCATTGGCTGATTCTGCTGATTCAAGATTTTTTTTTTCAAAATATATTTTATTAATAAAATAGAGAAAAAAGTATGTGTAAAAATAGCTAAAATGGTCATCTACAGTAACTTCAGCCAATACAGCCAGAAAAGTAACTTCAACCTTACTTTTTCTGCTTATTACACAAGTCAGCGCGTGAAAACAAAAATTACGTGTTTGGTGAAAAAGTTGGTTGATAAGCCTGATAAGCCGAAAATCAGTGTCGCCAAACGATATGTAGTATTTAAGAACAAGTAAAACTATGTTCAAAACTTCAAAATATGTACAAAAACAATCAACATCACCAATATTATATGATGTCAAGTGTCAACCTATAGTAATTTGTACAACTATTCTTATTATATGATATACATGTTAACTTATAGAGATATATTACCTTCATTATTTTTAAGTTGCAATTTAAGTGAGTTTTACACTATTCAAATGCTCTATTTTGATTGTTATGGCAAAGACTAATATTCAAGAATTAAAAGTGTCCTCATTAAATTTAAATTTCAAAAGTGAAAAGCATTAAGTATTAAAACTTTAAAAGTTTCTCTGAAATCATACTAGCATACAAATCAAAAGTGTCAAATGTTCAATACTTTTTCTTGAGTAATTACTCTATTATTTAGTTTATTACTCATGTCCAATTTTTGGCATTTTAAAGTGGATGGTATAATATTTTTTTTGAAAGAGCATTTTCAATACAAAAACGTTAATGATGCATATGTGACATGAGTGAGATACACTCAAGAATTAATAAGTAGAGTACCTCTCTCCTAATTCTGAAGGTCTGATATTTTTTTATATAGTGTCAAATATAACGACTAGATATAATTGACATTGTTGAGAACAGATTACCAAAAAAAACATAAAACCGTGAAAAGAAAAATAGAAAAATGTCATAAATTAATTCTTTTGTGTTTATCTCTCATGCCACATATAACCGTGTAAGTTGTAACAATGAAGACAATCTAATAGGTTAAACTCCTTTTGGAAATATGTGAACTTCGAGAAACCAACAACCGCTATGAATTTTGGCATCCGTACTAGTTTGAGAAGTAGAAGCAATCTACGATTTGGATTGATGCCAAATCGATTAGATTTATCTCGTTTATTCTCATCTCGTTGTGGAATGAGTTTTCCTCTCATCTTAATCCTTTCATGTTTCATCTTGAGGATCAACGTCATGGTCATATTGTCAAACTTATGGTGTCTTTTCTTCTATTGTTCCTTTCTTCCCAAAATAGCTTTGTTCTTCTCGGAAAATTAACTTACTTTTTTCAGGGGCAGACATGCAAAAAAACAAATTATTTAATACTCTTACTTACCTAGCTTACGGTTCTTACTTTTTTTTGAACGTTCCGGCTAGATGTTCTTATTTTTATTTTAAAAAAATCTAACACTCTTGAATTACAATTTAAATATTAAAGATAGTATATCTACAACATCACAATAATTATTAATGACTCAAGTATATTATATATACTTACCCTAACTATATATCAAAATATATTCAATTATTTTATTTAATTATTATCTAAATAACTATACTACCTTGTAATAAAAACCTTCGATAGTACTCTCCTAATGTGTAAAAAATGATGACATGGTGATATGGAAAAATATTAGAAATTGATTGGCTTTGGAAATTAGTAACAGTACCATAGAATTTTCCCCACTTCTATTGTTCTATTTGTGAAGAGACAATTATTTTTGTTTTTAACTTTTTATACCACAAATAATTCACTTTTGTCTCTGTAAAAAGAAATTACACGGGCACAGACAAAAAGAGTGTTACACCGGCAATTACAGTTTGGGCGGAGAGTTTTTCATTCATAAATAAAACCCGCCTGCGGTGGCGGCACCGCTACATTCCAATGGCGACCAACAATAACGACCAGGATAAGCTACCTTACCGCCCGTATCGGGAGAGGAAAGTCCTCGCGGCTCATGCACGCGCCGTCTCATGTGTGAAGTTCTCCAACGACGGTAAGCTCTTCGCCTCCGCCTCTCTGGACAGAACTCTAATCGTCTGGTCATCCGAAACCCTAACGAAGCTCTCACAACTCGTCGGCCACTCCGACGGAATATCCGACCTGGCCTGGTCCCCTGACTCCACCTACATCTGCTCTGCCTCCGACGATTGCACCATTCGCATCTGGGTTGCCAGCTCCGGGGAGTGCCGCAAAACCCTCCGGGGCCACACCAATTTCGTATTTTGCGTCAATTTCAATCCCCAATCCAACCTCATCGCATCTGGATCGTTCGACGAGACTATTCGGGTTTGGGATGTGAAAACGGGCAAGTCCGTGCACGTGATCCGGGCGCATTCCATGCCCGTGACCGCCGTGCATTTCAACAAGGACGGGACCATGATTGTTTCCAGCAGCCATGACGGCTCATGTAAGACTTGGGATACAGCCAGTGGCGCCTGCTTGAAGACCCTTATAGATGATAAAATCCCTGTTTCGTTTGCCAAGTTCTCTCCTAACGGCAAGTTCATACTCGTAGCAACTCTGGATGACACTCTTGTAAGTTATGCTTTCCTACAATCTCTCTAAATCTTGAAATATGTAACATTTGAAGAAGTTATATTATATGCTTCTTTATTTTGGCTGCTGCTTGGTAACAATCACTTGCTTCTATTAAGATTCATATGTGATTTTAGGATTGATGATGCATGCATATAAATACCAACGCATGTTAAAGATATGCACAATCCAGCCCCTTTGTGGTTTAGGGAAGATATAGAGAACAGAGAAATGGATTCAAACTAGACTGTAGGGGTGAGTTCGGTTCAGACAGTTCTGTTTTCACCTAAAACCAAATGCCGAACCAAAGTAAAAAGTTCGGTCCGGTTTTATGTTCAAAATTTTGGAATCATGGTTTGTTTGGTTCAGTTTATTTTGGTTTTTTCGGTTCAAACGGTTCTGTTTATTCTTGATAGAGACAAAAATGTTGCAAGAACCACCTTTTTCATCCTCTCCTCACCAAACCACAGCATTTCTTCATCATGTCCTAATCCTATCTCTTCCATCTCTACATTCTTTTTCTTGTATTATATCTTAACCAAATAAAGACTTAGTTCTTCCACATTATATGACTTTCCTTCTTGTGGTTCTTTGAAGAAACTCTGGAATTATGCAACTGGAAAGATAATGAAGTCATATACTAAGCATATGAACAGAAAGTATTGCATTACACCCACATTTTCGGTGACGTATGCGAAGTACATTGTTTGTGGTTCTGAAGATCATTGTGTGTACATATGGGATCTGCAAAAAGACAAGAATTTGCTGCAAAAGCTTGAGGGACACAATGATACCGTCATCTCTGTGAGTTGTCATCCCCTGGCGAACATGATTGCATCTGCTGGACTTGATGATGACAGAACTGTGAGGATTTGGGTTCAAGATTAACAACAGTCTTCTTTTCAGCCCTTCTTCTTGGTTAGTTACATCCTAACTGGTTAATGTATATAGACTTTTGTTTTTCTGAACTTCCAGATTAATGTATAATGTATACTGGATTCAGATTTGAATCAAGTCTTAATTGTTTCACCATATTCTTTGTAACATTTACCAAGGCTTCATTGCTTTAAAGATAGATGCATTTTACTGGAAAATATTTTCTGATTTTGCTTTGTTTGGCACAAAAGTGTTTGGAGTAATATGGGAAATGACTCCCATTTCAGGAACAGTTTATACAGTTTAAACGCGCTTTCTATTTTGTGGGTCAAGTATTATGGTTATATATATACAAAAAAAAACAAATAGAACAAGTTAGGATTCGTTTTGTTAGTGTTATTTGGCTGAAATGGCTAAATCTCCTAATTTTCCAAAAAGAAAAGCGTTTGCTACTATGCTTACATCCATTTTAGCCAATGAAGCAAGTCAAAAGTTGCTTAATCTAATTATTTTGCTCAAACATAATTATCTCAATCAGGTGACCAAGTGGATCCTTATTTTACAGGAAATCTATTTTATTCAAAAAATATTTCAGAAAACCATTTTCCTTTAAAAACTTCAAATGGATCCCTTCTCAGTAGATAAAGCATAAAATACACATGGTTTTTCATTCATGCAAAAAATCTAACCAACCCTTGCTGAGATATATCAAGTGTAGGGATATAGAACCCCTATAGCACTTATTATTATCTTCTTCAATGTAGCACAAATTTGCCAATGTTTTTTCTTTTCAAAATGTTATTTCTGCATAAAGGAGATGCAGGTCATAATGGATTGTGTGCAATATTTTCTTCCCAGGCAGGCATCCTTCCTGTTTATTCAGGATTTTTTTGGTTGAGGTCATATGTTGCTTAATGATAGAACTCCAAACTGCAAAGATGTTTGGTTAAAAAGGGATGGATTGATAGATATCTCATGAGGGAGAATAAGGTATAAACTCGAGCTAAAGAGGTGTACTGTATTTTCATCCATTAGTAGACAGATTTATGTATTGGTACTTTGTACAGAACCGCATGAGAACTTGATATGTCAAAATGTTAAATTCCAATACTGATTAATACAGAGTGCTACAAAAGTACAAATTGGTTGTCTAAGGAAATTGCTATTGATCTGACTTCTGAGATATCACTGCCCCTTCCTTTCTCCAAATGTATCTTCTAGCCCATTTGTTACTTTTCTTTTCTCGCGGCTATCATCTCTGCATAAACCTGGCGAATAAGAAATGTTAACTACCTTTTGTAAAGTGATGAATCTATCAATAGTGTTCTTGACTTCTTGCCTTGTTTAGATTGGCTCATTGGCCTCTAATTCTCAAGAATAAGGTGATGTCCAAACACAATTTAGATATTAAAAAAAATCATCATTTGTACTATGAGATACAAATGAGTGGAGCGGGGGAGCTACCTTGGGGTAAGAGTATAGAAAGATGTACCACCAGGCAGAGATTAAAGCGGTGACAACAGCAGTGACTAAACCAGAGTGCAAAACTATCCAGCTAGCTGTAATGGCTAGTATACCAGTCAATACTATTGTCCATGGCTGGCACCTGTTGACAATCATAACAAACAAAACATGTATAATTGTATATACTCTTCACCATCAAAATCAGAAATATACTTCAATGCACCTGCGGCGGCAAAGGAACGAAATATCACGAACTTACTCCGTATTCAAGATAAAATTTGTTTAGCAAGCTTTGTTGAAACTACCGGACCAAACTTGAATCGATACTAGGCGAGTGATGAACCAGCTTGTGAATGAAGTCTTAGAGACCGTTGGTAACACTGTTTTTCGGCTTATCAGGCTTATCAACCAACTTTTTCACCAAACACGTAACTTTTGTTTTCGCGCGCTGAATTGTGTAATACGGAGTAATAAGAAAAGTAAGGTTGGATTTACTTTTCTGACAGTATTGGCTGAAGTTATTGTAGACGAGACCGTTTTAGCTATTTTTACACACAGAGTATAATTTTTGCTTTATTTTAATAATAAAATATATTTTAAAAATATTTTTTTCTTAAATCCTCAGAATCAGCCAATACAGTCACTTCAGCCAAAACTTCATAAATTTCAACAGGATCAGCCGAAATAGCCGATTTTCGTGTTACCAAACGGGCTCTTAGTATACAAATCAATTTGTTGGACATTTTTTAATCCATAATTTTGATATTTTTTGCTTATGGGTAATCCATAATTATGAGCAACAAGCATGTATAACTAGAAGCATAATTATGAGTACCCACTAACAACCATGTGTTAACTTCCTTAACTAGTTTCTTAATTGTAATATGAGAATATATAGAGTGACTAAAATGGAAGAAATATTTATATACTTATCTTCTGGTATTGCTCTATTTTAGTGAAATCAACAAGCTTTTCAATCTCTTCAAATAGACATGCTTGATGTTAACATGATCCAATTGGTAAGAGCATCTCCAATGTGGTTGTGCATTGGCACTGATGTGGTAAAGAAATGGAGAAGGTCTAGATCAAAAAATAACAAAAGGACCCTAGTCCATTGGGTTTGTACTCCAATGCAAGAAGGAAGAATAATAATAAAAAATGATAATCGATGCAAGAGAAAAGTAATTGTTCATGCGGTTGGAGCAAACCAACTTTTTTGTTGTCAGGTGGTGAGACCGAAGGTCTAGAAGTAGAACGGGTGCTGGACATTGTCTATTGCCACATCAGATCTGAAGGTCCATTAGTATTAGCATTGGAGAGTAAATTTGGTTAAACAAAGTGCATTTGCTGATCTGGAACTCCAATGCACCCCTGCATTGGAGATGCTCTTATGGATGATTTTTCAATTTTCCTAACAATGGTGAATGGAGAACAATTCACACTTCGAATACTTTTGATTTTTGAAGCTCGTCTGAGCAAGGACCAAAACATATTAGGATATTTTTACTTGGATTATAATTTTCTGGTCTGGTCTGGTGATGTCTGTTTTCTTTGTATTTTTATAACTATTCAAATCTGGTCTGATCTGATCTGGAATATATTCACATTTGTCTCACTAAAAGCCACAATGAATGATAATTTGTACGGAGTATTTAACAGGTTTGTTTGAAGCCCATTTTTATTTTTAAGCTCACAGGCCATGATATGCCAAAACGAAAAAGCATTTAAAATCATAAACCATACCAAAGTTCATCCTTTCAGATCTCTATATCGACGACTTGCAAGTTGCAATAACTATTCATTGATTCAAAATTGATTGGATGTTGCAAATGGGTATTAGTAGTTGTATACGTGGTTTTCAAAGGCGAGGCGCAAAGGAGGGCTTTGTATCATCCAAGAGGCTTTATTTGCAAACACGGAAAAAAATCATTTTCCACCCTTTGGCATAAAACACTTAAAAAGAGTGTTTTCAAATGACAACTTCTACTTAAAAAAAATTCTCGACTTTTGTGCAAAAAGTGTTTTTTACTTTTGAAATAATTGCCAGTTTATGACAAATGGCTTTTCAAATTCTAAAAATATAACCCCTTTTTTCTTTTTCTAAAAATGTGACCCAGACACCATTCTCGTTTCCGTTCGTCTTCATCGTCCCTACAACAAGCCTGAGCGCTGCTCGAAGATGGCTCGAAGTCTGCCAGCATCGCCTTCACCCAGGTCACCGGCTCCACCTTCTGGCGGCCGCCTTTGCCGGCATCGCACCGCCATCTTCCCAGGTCGCCGCCGCTCGCTAAACGTTTCATCACCTTCGTCGCCTCCGGTCGTTTCTACATCGGCACCTTCTCCGGTGGTATCTGCATCCCCGCCACCGAATCTCCCAGATCTTCTTCTTCACGCAGCAAGGCAGTGGGACTGGGCTGAGATCTGTTAGCTCGCCGCCAGCTTCTATACTTCTTCTTCTCGTTTTTTTCAGATCTGAGGTGAAAGGAAGGCGGTGAACGGCGGCTAGGGTTGAGACGGTGGTGATGGGCTGGGGTTGGGGCTGAGATTTGCTGGTTGTGGCTCAGATCTCTTGGCTGTGGCTGAGAGTTGTGCTGGTGATGATAGGCTGGAGGTTGGGCGAGTGATGATTGGGAATGAACGTTATGGGTGATTGGTGTTGAACGACGGGAGTAGGTTCGTAAGGTAGGGGAGGCCGGAGGATAGGGGTATGGGCAGTCTAGGGATGAAGACCAGACGTTCAATGTCCTTCTTCTTCAATTCGGCAGGAGTGAGTTACGAAGGTGGTCAATGTCCTTCAATTCGGCGATGAAGACCAAACTTTGAGCTTGGTTGCTGGCCATGGTTGAACGGCGGTGGGGTAATGGTTGACAGAGGAAGGACATGTGGTATTGTGGTGACACAGGTTGTACAAGGACCATGGTGGGGGAGGGGACACAGGTTGTACAAGGGCAAATGTGGACACCGGACGGCTGGCGGTGGTCACCGGTCGGACTGCGGTCGTCACTAGCCATGTCTGGGTGGGCAGATTTATTTGAAATATATGGTTTGATTGTAATTGTCGGAATCGGGTGTCACTGTGGCCGAAATCAGGTGTTGTTGTGGTCGGAATCGCGTGTCACTGTGGTCAGAAACGAGTGTCACTTTGGCTGGAGTCACTGTGGCCGGAGTCACTGTTGCGGCGGGGCAGTAACTGTGGTGGCGGGGCAGTCACTGTGGTCAGTGGGGTCACTTTGGCCGAAGTCACTTTACCCGGAGTCACTTTACACTGCAGGGTTAATTGTGATGTTGGTCACATTTTTGGAATTTTTAAAAACAGGTCACTTTTTTATCTTTTATCCTATTTTTAGTAATATTGGAATAAAAAGGCCTTTACTTTTTCTATTACACAAAAAGCATTTATTTTATCAAACACTACCAACTTTTACTTTTCAAAATCATTTTTTCTGTAACACTAACAACTTTTGCAATTAATCACTTTTCCTCGAATCACTTTAAAAAGTTAAAAGCACTTGGGGGTAGTGTTTGCAAACAAACCCTAAGTTTCAATATGTAAAATCAAAGGAATGAAAGGTTAAAGATGTTATTATTTGGACTGTTTCCAGTTCCAGATCAGATCCGTTCAGGTTAGACCAAACTTGGGCAGTTATAATATACACATAGACCAAAAAATTTCAATCCAAATAAAAACATCCTAAGAGGCGATTAGGTGATGTTGTTCTGCCAAATGTACCCTTGGTCTTTCAAAACCTTGATTTTATATGTTATTTTCATA